AAGGGTCTCAGCTTCGTGGTCTTGGGTTTGATTGCGGTTATATGATTGGAATACCGAGGCTTTTCCTTATTCATTGATTTAGCCTCTGGGACCTCAAGACCAACTATGCTAGAACTAAGATCATCTAAGATAAGGGATAGTATATCTGAATTGGAGATGGATGGAGGCGCTATATCAAACCCGGGTTTAGCACCTGTGTAATAGATACGAATGAAGACTGAACGTATCACGCTATCCTTAGACTTCTCTGCTAAATAAATGTTCTCAATATCATATACTAATGCCTTGGGAAGAGGGTGACCATTCGAATCAAACAAGGGAATAGCCTTTCCAACGGTGAATCTATATATACCGGAGGAGGTTTCAACCACTAAACCTATGGTGAACTTCATGTAGTCTGAATCCGTATTGTAAGCATAGCGGTATAATACAAGCAGGACCTCTAACGATATAATCACATAATCACAGGATCGAGCGTATGGCTCCACAAATTCGTTTTCCGCTAGGAGCGACCCCGTATATAGATTATAGAATAGCTCAGAACCCTGCATATCCATTAAACGACTCCAATTTCTAAGATTATGAAATACTTTTTTATTTCATTCTAGTATAGCGTCGGAAAAAAGGCTTGATTAGGGCCTCCCTTGGACTTCTTTTTTCAGAATGAATCCCCGAATTACTAACAGAAGAGCCTATATTAGGGCTGGACCCTACACTAACTTGAAATGCATGATACCCCTTTAGGGTAGTATACTCTCGTAATAACAAGCCTTTCCGCGTGGATTAGCAATCACTTCTCTGCCCGGACAAGCCTCACTTGTTCAGTAGGAGAAAGGAAAAGTAGCTCTCGGTACAAGATCATGATCTTGTGCCTGGATGGTCACCTAGGCACAAGAAAACTGGCCTCATATGAGGTTTGGTGCCAGCACCTCTCTCCTAAGTACCACTCGCCCCAAGAAGTCTCGGCCATAGAGCATTTTGCAGGACGAGCTTGCCTCAGTAAGTCAGCCATCAATCCTTATTTCATTTCTTTATATTCGGTTTGGAAGTGACTTTACTAATGCTTTGATTTAGATTATAAGAAAAGATTGCCACCATAGCGAGGGTATCACGCTCAATAGAACCATACTTTGCTATGTCAATAGGAAAGATAAAGAAAGAGGAGGCCTTTTTATATATTTCGGAAATCTAATCATCATGCACTGACATAATAAATCATTATCTGAGGGCCTATGATCATCCAAAAGCCTGGCATACCATACTCCTAATAATGAAGCTGGCTGGATTCTACTTATTGTGTACAAGCAGAGCATAAACAATCCTGGCACGTTTACAATTAGAAATGGTATAAACTAATCGAGATGCTTCTACACGTCCATTCTTCTAGGAGAGTAATACCAGTCTTTTTGCCTTACCCGGCCTTCCAATCGGTCTAGTCCACGCGTGGACAGAGGTGAAATCCTCTAGCCCATTACCTGAAAAGGCGACTACCTATCAATCGTATTGGCCCAATTCCAGATCAATAGAATAGAAGGTATCATATTCACTCAATTCCTAAGGGAATCGCCCGCTTGACTAATAGCCTCTGCCTATTGTGTTATTTTCTACTGATTGCTTGTATCAAGCAGGACGTCCACATGAGAGTTGTACCAAGTTATCCCTTCACACTATCGGACCTGCTTCTTACTTATTTGTAAGCGCCTACGGGCGGAATCAAAGAAAAAATGCAGATAATCCCTTTCAATTTGATTTCAATTTGATGAGTGAGGTTTTCAACTCTCGTTTAATTAAGCGAAAGCGCTTTATTGCGAGCCACATAGGACATTGGATAAGAACTGTACAGTCCTGCCCTCGGACCGACAAAATAAAGAAGGAAAACCAACCTCCCTTGCTCAAACTTCTAAGGAAGCCCATCTTTCTTAACGAAAAAACGGCTTTGGATTGGTATACTAGGTCCATCCACCTTGACCTCGAATGGGTATTCTGCCTATCCCTTACACGCAGTGCCAATCCACACATTCAAATGTACAGGAAGTCAATTCTTTCGAATTCACCTCTCACTTTGTTCGAGCAACTACGTACCTTTGACAAACTATTTCAGGCTTTCCGCGATTCTATTATGGCATGACTATGCTGTTATTAGGATTACCCGATGCCCAAAGGTTCATCACGATCGGGCGATCAGGCAATTCTAAACATGAAAATAGAATAACGTATTTTGCTGACGAACTACTTACGGTTATTGCATTAAGATTTCAATCTCGCCTGCAGGCAAGGCATATCTCATCTCGGTGGATCTGGAAAGACAGTCCTACTTCTCCTCTTACGCTTATGCTTCTATTTCAGCGTATTCAGTCTATGTTTATTCTTCTGCCTTTGAATTTGATGCTTCATAGGATGATGACTCTAACTCCGCTTTATAAAGAGGGTCAAGCCCGTTGAGCTAGCTTAAAGCTCAAATCAATTCCTCCAGACGTCATTACTAAGTAAATTGGAACTTCCTTGCTAACGTTGAGTTGGGAGAAGCCCTTCTGGTAACTTATTGAAGTAGGCAAACCGAACTGGATGGAAAATACGAGCAAGGAAATCTTTATTTCCATGGCACAACTTGCCTCGAGCTTCGACGTTCCCTCACGCTTCAGCAACAGAACAGACCTTCACTGTCAGGCAACGAAAGGTATTAGTTATTGGATGTGATGATCCTTCCGCATACCGAGTTGCCATCACCTCGGAAAATGTTTATACCAAGGGCGTGGTGTCAGTTCGGATGTTCTAGCTCATTGAGAAAACATTGATGCCAAACCAAAGGGTATGGTGTCAAGAGTTCAGACCGTCGAATGAATTGTGGCCTGGTGGGAGGACTTGTGTTACGATGCAGCTGGCACCTTGAGGTCTCGTTGCAGAGTGGGCAGCGATCGTTCGGAAAACGAGTCGGCATGGTCTTGAACGACCCATAGGCTTTGGGCTTCGATGGCAGCTTGAAGGACGCAGATTGGGAAGTTGGCTGTGGTCCGTCGTGCATTGTGCAGACGCCTGATGGCTTACGTTGCCAAGAGGGCATTGTGAGACAAAGGAAAGGGCTGAAAAGGATGGTGTTTGGCCCAGGATCTCACTATCACCTATGCATGTGCGAGAATGCGATACGGTAGAGGCCGATGTGTCATTGGGACACTTTAGCGTGGTAGACCGGGCGACGAGTGCCGCGGGCACTGGGAACAGTCCTATATTGGGGAAGAAATGAACGACTTCCCTCCTCATCTGGGCACGAAAGGGAAAGTTTTTTTAGCCTCGAAATCTCCTATTGAATCGATCTCTTGCATCTAAAGGTTCTTCCCCCGGCTCATCCAAAGTCTCTTTTTGTCGATAGGCACCCCTTGCATCTATAGAACCATCTTTCTCGCCGGCTCGAGCAATCCGGGTTCTCGATCAAGAGGACGGCGAGGCTTAGATTCCATTTTCTTATGTTCAGTTATAGAGGCTCATCTTTCATTGATAGGAATGCTGGTAAGCGCACTTGGCATTCCAGACTTTTTTGCACAAGAGTAGCTATTATCCGCCTATCCCGGGGATAGGAACAGTCAGATGAGACCTGCTAGTTAGGTTCAATGCCGATGAAAGAGGGATCTTTAGGAACTTAGGCGAATCAATAGGAATGAGCTACCGGACGGATTATCCCCACCGATAAAAAAGAAAGAATAGGCTAATCTAGAGAGACAGGCGAAAAGTCCTTCATTACCCCTTTTCACTTACCTCTTCCTATGCTTTTTCATTCCAGTCAGTCTGCCAGGAACTACAAAGATCTTTTACTGGTATGGGTGATAGGTGTTGTAGGCGGCACCTTCACCTTAAGGTTCTTCGATCACTAATTGCAAAAAGAATAGAACTTGAGTCATTATGGTCAGGGAAGGCCCGAGAGGAAAGTACTGGCGGAGAGGGAAGGGAGAGCTATCTTCCTATTGTCAAAGTGAAGATGGATAGTGGTGGATTAGTGATCCATGGAAGATAAGAGCCTTTCGGCCAACATTTGCGGGGCGGGGAGGAGGTCGTTAATGACCAAAGACTTTCTCGCGAGCCTGCACATATAGAAATGGCTGCTTCCTTTTTTCATTTAGGCGATATCCGGTTGAAATCTCAGGTTTGAAGAGCGCTCAACGGATAATGCCCAAGGACGGCCCAGAGACAGGAATGAATAGCAATGCTTGCAGTGAATAATCTTGTAATATATACTCAAAAGCTAGGTTCTTTCCAATTTCCAAAGAGTGATAATGCGTAGATCTCAGATCAGCTAGAATAGTTGCCTTTTTTGAATCCTTTGAAACAGCTATTTAGTCTTGAGTTTCCTGTCCTGTACTTGACTTTGGGTAATTCATCTAGTGGAGTGCCCTGGCGGTTATAATTAGAATCTAATCTCTCTAGTACACAAAACCGGACCAAGCATTAGCCTAAGAATGGGTGTGAGTATGGAAATATGGCAAAAGCTATACCGAGAATTAGTTCGCGTAGGAATGGACGTATTGGTTCACGTAAGAGTGCACGTATAATACCAAAGGGAGTCATTCATGTTCAAGCTAGTTTCAATAATACCATTGTCACTGTTACAGATGTACGGGGTCGGGTAGTTTCTTGGTCCTCCGCCGTTGCTTGTTGCAGGGCTCTGATCTGACAAAGAAAAAAAGGCTTGAGAGGGTACTTTCACTCTTCAATCGGTACGTCTTTCTCACCTAAATAAGTATGGATGTATTTAAGGAAGTGGAGTACTGAGCAGCTTGAGACACTTCAGTAGCATAACGAACATCAGCAATTTCACTTGCAGCCCCTTTCGCAACTCGAGGAGATGCCCCGCTTGTTCAAGAGTTTGAGTAGCCCACTTACTTTAGTTTGACTGAAAAAACTGACTTTCCGCTCTTCTCTTTCTTATTTATTCTTACTACAGAAACCGGTCCGGAATAAAGAAACCTTAACGTATCCGGGTCGTACGCCTGGAACAGTCGTACAATTTCGGCGATTCTAAAAAGGAGTATATCCCTCTCCCTTAGTGTCTTTCTACTTCCCTCGTTCAGGAACAAACACTTCGCCTAATTCTTTTTCATTTCCCCACTAACTAATTAGCTTACGACCACTGAACAAACTTGGTTGACGAACATAGTTTATGCGCCGCTAATCTAGCGGCTTGTCGAGCGTTTGACAAACTCACACCCTCCATTTCAAATAGGATTTGTCCCGTGGACACACGAGCAATCCAACCCGTAGGATTTCCTTTTCCTCTTCCCATTCTTACTTCTGTAGGTTTCCCGGTAATAGGGATATCTGCGAAAACTCTTACCCATATCTTACCATTTCTTCGGAATTGTCCGCTCATAGCATGATGGAAGTGTCCGATTATAGCACGACGCGCTGCTTCAATGGCTCGATATGAAAGACGACCAGCTCTACAACTTTTAGTGCCATATCTTCCAAAACCAAGTTGTGTACCGTCCGGTTTGCAACCCCTACTACATCTGCCTTTACGATATTTACTATATTTCGTACGTTTCGGATATAGCACGTCCCCCTTTTTTTTTACTATATGAAATCCACACTTTGACACCTGAGATTCCGTAACGAGTAGATACTTCCGCAGGAGCATAATCTATTTTCTGGTGAAATACATTACGAGATGTTTTTCCATACTTTCCGCATTCAGTTCTAGCTATTTCTAGACCTTTTAATCGACCTGAACAACATATACGGATCCCCTCCACCCCCTTTTTCATTACTAATGGAATATCCTTCACTATTTGACTAAAAATGGAACGAAATGATCTTGTTTTGTTCCTCGGTTGAAAAGAGATGTCTTGAGCAATCGGAGAAGCACTTTGATAAACAGATTGGATCTTTACTGATTCAATTAAGGTATTAGTGTTTGTTCTATTAGACAACAAAGATCTTATTTTTTTCACTTCGTTCAAATAAGAGTTGTACCCGTACGGAATTCTTCTGTTTCTCAGTATGATCTCTATCATCATCTCTATTCCCTTTATCAATTCTCCTATCCTACCTAGGTCTATGAAATGATCTATCAATTCCATTACCTTATCCTTACTCATGAGACTCATGGGGTTACAATATTTTCTCCTTAATTGACCTAGGAGTTGTAGTTGTTCCCGGGCATCCTCGGAAAAAAGGTGATTCTGCACCCCAACCCCATCCCTTGGAAAAAAAAAGGTAGCACCGAAGAAAGGAAAGAGCGAGATGGTGGTTTTTGTTGTTCCCGCGAAGCGAAGATCATTCGCTTGGCGAATAAAGTGGATCAACCTCTTTTTGGCTTCGGCCAAACACTTTTTCTCGCTGGTCGAGCTTTCTACAAAAAAAGCGATGCGAGAACGTATTCTCTTATCTAAGCTTCTTTCCTGTCCCCCCATCGTAGATGGTTCAGCCACGCCCGGTGCCACGAAATGATTTATAACTACGACGGGGTCGAAATTCATTTTTTTCTTTGTATTCAATAAGTATTGCATGACCGAATAATTAAAGGAAGGGCGCACTGCAGGGAGGGTCCTTTTAAGTAGATGACTCGTCGGGCGGTCGGAGCGGGACTTATTTGGGAAAAATAACTTGAATAACTTAGTTTTTTCGTCATTTTTTATAAGGAACGCTATGTCATTTACAATCCCGGCGTATTTCGGATGCTTGAAGGCCCCGCTGACCCGAAGTGATTTAGAAAGAGTCTTCTTTATCGATGGTGATTTGTCATGGTATCCATAGCCTTGCTTCTTTTTCGGCCAAATCCTGATTTCGTTTTGCTTCTCCCGATCGTCGAGCCTGATCGACTCGACTCTTTTCCCTGCCCCCCGGCCTCTCACTTCGTTTCGTTCTTCTTCTGTACCGTCGCTTGAATGAAGACACCCGATCGGCCCGACTTTCCCAAATGCCCCCCCAAAAAACCGGCCCTTCTCCTTTCCGGGTCTGGCTTTTTCACGTCGTTTTTGTCGTCGTGGTAGACGGGGAATAAAGAAATGAATGAAAGTTCTTTTGGGAAAATGTAGAATAATACACCTACCGAGACGAAAGCCAAAGGTGAGTCTCGTAGTAGTAGTAGTAGTGGTAGTGGTAGTGGTGGTGGTGGTGGTGGTGGTGGTGGTGGTGGTGGTGGTGGTGGTGGTGGTGGTGGTGGTGGTAGTAGTAGTAGTATACGTATTGATACATATTTTTACAGAAAATTTGAAGTTGACATGATTTTTTAAGTTGATATTTTTTATACTTATTATTACTTATTACACCTATGAATTCAGGTTCATATATCTGAAAAAACTACATTTTAAACTGTTGAAAAAAGTGGTGCATATGTTAAATTATTCTTTATTTCTATCACTAAATTAGTATATTAGGCATGTATTATATGCCGTATTTTTTAATTGTGAAATGTTTAAAATACGTCTATATCTTTATTCGTTTCACGAACGTATGACACGTATATTTAGTCGAATTTTATATAATTGTATCGTATTATACACGAACATTAACATTGTTCCCATATATAGTTGTAAATTTTTGTTATTACTTTAACATGTATAGTGAAATACACGTGGGGCCCACACTGGGAGCGAAGATCATCCGATGTTTCGGGACCACATGTTATATTTATCTTGGTCTACATATGATGGTATGAATTCGTGTTGGGTCATAGAAACAATATTGAGTTGGTCGGTTTATCAACGAGGCCCATAAACCAATTTTGATAAAATACCGAATAACAACCCATAATAAATTATGGGGTCCACTAAATTAAAGGTGGAGAATGTATGTTCATTCTAGAGGCCCATATTAATTGGGAGAATGATATATATTTTATTTGACCCGATAAAATGAAATCTAATTAAAACAGTTCGAGAAATACAAGTTTCAGGATCAAGTGTACACTCCGGGACATAAAGGGGTGACCTACCACATTAGTGGGGGCCATACTACGAAATTATGAGGTCAAGTTGACAAAGGGGGCTTCACAACATGGGTTGAGGTGTGGATGTGGGCTTAGGGTAATGGTTGGGTGAGAATTGATCCAAGGTGGACATTTCTCCTCACTCATTTATCTATTGAGACAAAAGGAGTCTCCTCACTCTCCTCCTCATTCCTTGTGCGTCCAAACATCATCCTCCATATCCAAATTCGAGCTCAAGCAAAGAATCCAAAAGAGAAAGTCTAAAGAAGAAAAAGTGAGGAAAAGCTTGGAAGATTAAGGTAGTTAATGACCTCATTGTTACCTTTCCTTCTTTCAACTAAGTTTATATGACTAAATAAGTCATATGGATGACCTTTAAGATTGTTCGATGCATTTAGAAGTGTAGAATGAGGGGTTGGAAGGTGATTACAAGTTCAAGAACGAACTTAGAATCAAAGATAACCGGTTCGCTGCAAAATAACTTTTTAGAGGTTATTTATATTGATATGGATTTCGGGATGATGGAACCTTGTTAGGAACTCGTCTAAGGTGTTCCTAGTACTCTCACAGAGTTGAGGGAAGTTTCCGGAGATATCGCCGAAGTCCACCGAGTTTAGCGGAGTTTCGCTAGAGGCCAATCGAAGAGGGTAGAACTTCTTAAAGCTCATTTAAGGTGAGTTGACGGTTTAATGTCATATAACTCTTAGGTTGAGTATCATGAGATTACATAAAAAATGTTATGTGCGTTCATAACGATGTTTAAAGAGTTTAAGCATGTGATTAGTCAAGGTGATTAGGCTTATATGAATTAATCTATGGGAATATGCATGTAAATGGATTAAAATGCATATAAAAACAAATATGATGTTTTGAATGGCCAAAATGGCATATATTGATGGTTTATGACTTATTACACATTGTGTTTGAGTTTCCTAGAAATCAAAGTTGGTTCACGTGGTCAACGAGGCGTTGACCATGTGTAAGACAGTAGGCTAACGTCAGCCAGGGTCGGAAACGACGCCGGTTTGGTCACTGCCAGTCCGGTTCAAAGAAAATAATGCTGAACCAGCGTCGGTATGACCCTGAATTGGCGTTGGTATGGTCTCGGGTTTGAGGTCTATTTTTGTGAAAAACGGGAATTTGGTGCCAATCAAAGGTAGACTCGGCACCGGTCAATCTATATATGTATATTTTGCATGGTTTTACATGGAGTGTGGTGTTTAGATGTTAAGGCTTGGGGTAGTCGTTCTTAAGGATATGATATAGACCATAGCCTGGTAAGGTATATGGTAGTTGATAAGATTGGGTGGTATACCAAGGGCCGGGCGGTGTCCTAAAATTCGGAATTTGGGTGGAGTACCCTGGGACCGGGTGACGTCCTTACTCCTTAGAACTTGTTATTACCCGGAGAGAGGCCCGGTGGCTGAATAAGCCTAACACTCGATGATATAATGAACCTAGTGTTATAGCAGAAGAGCTATAACACCGGGTTGGATATGGGGACGGGGAAAGTCAAGGACTAAGTCCACCATGATTTTATTGATTAAGGCAAATGACCTACGGGTCGTTTATTTTCCAAGTATATACACTTATATATATATATATATATATATATATATATATATATATATATATATATATATATATATATATATATATATATAGAGAGAGAGAGAGAGAGAGAGAGAGAGAGAGGAAAGTTCATGTCCGGAATTCCGGACAGGAACCGCCGTCCGGACGGCGGCGTTTGGCCCCCTTCCCGGTAGAATTTTTTGATGAAATTTTTATGACATGTTCTTCATCAAGTCTAGTTTATATACAAAAAAATTAAGCTAAAAACTCAATCGGGAAGGTTGTCAAATGAGTTTTACAAGTTAACTTCGTTTTATATGTATTTTCCAGCGCAGTTATCTTGTAAAAATCATTTGACGACCTTCCCGATTGAGTTTTTAGCTGAATTGTTTTGTGGATAAACTAGACTTGATGAAAAACATGCCATAAAAGCCGTCATCTAGACGGCGGTTCCGGTCAGGAATTCCTGACCGGAACACTACACTATATATATATATGGAATTTTATCAATTCAGGACCCGAAAGATAGATTAATTATCAATTCAAGACTCGAAAGATAAAACGTATCAGTATAGGACCCGAATGATGGAAAAATATCAATTTAGGACCTAACGTTGCATAGGTTTTGATTTATTTAATTTTTTATTAATTCAATTACTAATACGAGTATTTGATATACTTTTCTTCACAAAAGTTTATTACTCCCTCCGGTTCTTATTAAACTTTACAGTTTGACTTCACACATATTAAGGAAATAAATTTGACTTTACTGTAGACTGTACTGTTTGGCACTGTTTGACACTGTTTGTCAGTGTTTTGCACTGTTTAGTGTAGATTTGTTTGCCAAATAAGGCAAATAAGGAAGTGTAAAGTTAATTAAGGACCGGAGGGAGTAGTTTAATAAAACTAAATAATATTTAAAATTTTTAAAATAAAAAAAATAAAAAAAAATATGACAAATTAGGTCCTAGATTAATAGTTTTCAATCATTCAGGTCCTAAATTGATATTTTTCATCATCCGGATCCTATATCGATGCATTTCATCTTTCAGGTCCCGGATTGATAATTCGTCTATCTTTCGGGTCCTGAATTGATAAAATTCCTATATATATATATATATATATATATATATATATATATATATATATATATATATATATATATATATATATATATATATATATATATATATATATATATATATATATATATATATATATATATATATATATATATATATATATATATATATATATATATATATATATATATATATATATATATATATATATATAGGGAAGAGTTCAAATAAAAAGACCTCTTCCGGTGCAAAGTGCGAAGATATGCACTTTTGCATGTTTCGCTTTCACTTTTGTGTGTTTCTATTGCACTGTTTCGCGGTAACGAAAAAGTGCAACATATTTGCGAAATTGTCACCGCGATTTTGGTCGAAATTTGTGCGTTTTTGGCTCATCTTGAGCCATTAGATGTGTAAATGAATGCACAAGATTCATTCTCACTTTGCATGGAAAGAGGTCTTTGTATTTGAACCATCCCCTACACACACACACACACACACACACACACACACATATATATATATATATATAAAGTGCTCTAGGTAGGACTAAAGATTCCCTAAAATACACAAATAGGACTACTACATTTACATTTTAAACCCTCCCAAATAGGAACAAAGAATCATTTCTACCATAAGTACGTACCCCTAAGGGTATTAATTTATAATAAAATCTTAAAAAAATAGGGGAAAATAATTAAAATACCCTAAACTTTGAAGGGTGTGGGATAAACACCCCAAACTTTCATATGTAATTTAAATACCCCAAACTCCATATAAAAATTTATTTTAACACCATGGTCATGTTTCTTTTTTTTTCAAAAATGTAAATTTATGATTTTAATTGCAAAATTTAAAATAGAGAATTGAAAACGTTGCAATTATATAGAGTGGGGAGTTATACTATTTAGTTTCAAATGAAAGTTTCGAATGTTAATTGTATCTTCATGAATGCTAAAATATTTGAAATTATGAAATTAACAAAAAAAATTGATATTTTTGAAAAAAACAATACACGACCATGGTGCTAAAGTAACTTTTTTATATAAAGTTTGGGTACTTAAATTAAATATGCAAGTTTGGGGTGCTTACCTTACACCCGTTCAAAGTTTGGGGTGTTTTAATTGTTTTTCTCTAAAAACTAATAAAAATCGTAATACTTATTAAAAGTCGTAAAAAAAATAAAAAAATATTTATAAAATATAAAAATTAAAAAAATATTTTTTTTGAAAATTTAAAAATTTAATAAAAATAGTAAAAACCCATAAAAAACAAAAAAACTATGGATACCTTTCCCACCGCCTCCCAGCACCACCACCTCTGATCGGTGAAAATTCTGCCATTTTTTATAAATTTTCCATTTTTTCTGTAAATGCCAAGAAAAATGACATTATTTCTCTTCATAATGCCAAAATTCTCATTGAATCTGCCATTATTATGGCATTACTAAAAATGTTGGCAGATTTCCAACCGGTGATGGGAGCTGATGGTGTTGGGGGT